TGATAAAACCCCTCTGTCTGTTGGTTTTGTAGAGAATTATATTTGGCTCCAGTGTCCATACCAGAAGCACATTTGTAATCGTCGCGGTGGAAGAGATCGTAAGCAGCCATGCCGCTCGGCAGATCGTCCAACTTTGGCCAGCTATATCACAACGAATTTCAAAATTGATGGGGTCAGCACGCGTAAGTACACAGTTGTCAAACTCAATGGTACACAATCTAAGTAATGACTTGAGACTTCGTCAGATATCACCTTGATTTATCGCAATATTTGGTGCGTGCTGGAGCTGCCGACAAGCGTAAAACGGCCCGGAATGCTTCCGAAGATAAGTTTAAATCACGGTGAACTGAACTGCCAAGTCAGCTCCCGTCATCAACGCACTCACACAAGGGGCTTAGTGACAGACTAGCAGGGGCTAGATCTGTTGAGACTTGACTGGTGGATGAGTTGAAATTGCATAATCAACCAGTAAACAGTATACGGCAGCCATCGTAACCGTCGATATCAAGTCCGACGTTTCAAAGTCAAAGTACGGAGATAAAACGACGCCACGAGGCACTGTTTGAAGCTGGTCCCGGATGCTGTGGAGTAAACGGTGCTCAGCTGTACCTCAAGTCAGACGTCAAGCCAATCTTCAGTCCAAAACGTCTGGGGCCGTATGCAACTCTATAGCTAGTGAAAGCCAAGCTAAATCGACTGCAGTTTGTGGGTATAACTAAACGTTTACACTATGCAGAATGGCCGCATCTATCTTGGTACTGAATAAAGGAAAAGGTAAGGTTTGTATTTGTTCTGATATTTTATCAGGCTTGAATTCCATGTTAGAGACTCAGCAGTACCCATTGCCTGTACCGGATGACTTGCTCATCATCCTCAACGGTGGCGAATACTACGCGAAATGTGACCTGGATGATGGTCATTTACAACTTCTAGTTGCTGAGGAATGCAGAATTGTTAACAAGTAACACGCATCTCGGAATGTTCTAGTATAGCCGAGTACTTTACGGCGTTAAAACCGCACTGGCCACTTCCGCACAAGTCATGGATGCGCTAGTTAACGTCCTCAATGCTGCGGTCTACCTGGACAAGCGCAGACCAACAAAACTTGATGCACACACTGAAGTACATTCAAGCCTAGCAGAATCCATATTCCGACTACGGGCTGAAAAATGTAACTCGCCATTAGAAGGCGTCAAATCCTTCGGGTTTATCATAGATAATGATGATGGGCAGCCGGATCCCGCCAAGTAAATGTAACCTAGGAAATTTGCTGCAGACCTCCACTTGTTTCTTTGCCTCGTGAGCCATTATTGTCTTTTCCTACCAAGCCTTCATCAATTTTGAGGTCCACTGAAAAAGTAGCTGACGAAAGATAAATTTTGGCAATTGACAAAAGTATGCCAAAAATGCTGGGATGTAGTCAGAGCAGTCCTCACTTCTAATCTACTACTGACTCACTTTAATCCGGCCTTGGGAGTAGACGTTGCTTCGGACAATGACATATATATATATATATATATATATATATATATAATATATATATATATATATATATATATATATACAGTGGATTCCGGTTAATCGGACCACATCGGGACCAGACCATTTTGGTCCTATTAAGCGGCTGATCCGATTAACCGGTTACCCGATGTAACAAGATGGGACGTGCTATACATAACATAGGAAACTACTATTATGACCTGTATTGGCGGCATATATTTATAGCAAACACACAAAAAAGAACTGCTTTGATAACGAACTTTGTTCACTGAAAAAGAAATTTACAAACAAATTCTTCGTAACGACCTACAAGATATTCGGCATGCGAAGTACAGTTTTATACAAAGGGATTACCGAATTCCATTCAGCGTTTGAAGACCGTATCCAGTGTGGTTTGACGCATTCTTTTAGCAGACTTCATTCGCACAAAATCACCACAAACATGTAACGCAGTAATAGGACTACCTTCATTTCCTTCCTGCATGAAATAGCGGTGCAATGTTTCAATGCATTTCCTTGCATCCCGTTTTGTGACTGGCATCAACACGTTAGGGTTCTCTTCATCACTTCCATGGTCTTCTGTTGCTGTCGTGTGTTTCGCTACTATTCGAGCAACAATGGCAGCATCGCATTCTTCATTTCCATCACAGAATTTAAGTTCGTTGTCGATTGACAAAAATTCTTCGTAATTTTCAACTTGTTTCAGCTCCACATTCTCGCCGTCATTTTCATTTACGATCACCATATCCACATCCATCTCCGAGACAATATGCTTAAAGCCACAGTGAGAAAAACAGTTCCGAATTGTCGCACTGCTCATTTTTCGCCAACTTTCGGCCACGAATGTAACGGCTTGCAAAATGTTGACCTTTGCACTGATTTTTCCGGCCGTTGAGGATGAGATCAGCAAGCCTTCCTCAATTGATTCAAGGATGTAATTCAC